GACTGTATATTCTATAAGTCTGAACTGGTGAGGATTTTTTTGTTTGTTTCTGGAGCTAGCATGCTAGTGCTAGCCTCCAGGTTATTGTTTTGTTCTCTGTGCTAAATCAGTGCAATTATATTGCTACATTTATTTGAATGTGCTTATGGAAAAAAAGCAATGTCAAACATTAATACTTTTCTATACTAAATGTCACTGATGGTATTGTTTTACTATTTCTGAACATCTGCATTTGTATTGATCTGAATAATGGAAAAATAAGCTTATTGCAATAAGTAACTAGCTCCTAGTGCTGACACTGAAGCATTTAAATTGAAGGTACATTGAGATGGTGGAATGCTATTGCTATATTGTGTGCTAAGATTCATAATTAAGGGCTTTAATATTAGGGATATTTAAGAGTACTCAAATAATGAGCTTTATTCTATTTATATTATGTATTTTTTATGTACTATTTTATATCATACATGCTGTATTTTAAGGATGGAGCTGACACGAAAGGTGGCTGGTGATATGTAATACTTCATGGGATGCTAAAACTGTGTCGAAGAACAAAGAGCTGAGCTGACAAAATCAAAATGGATTGTTACTGTCTTAAAACAACTCCAGTGTCACATTTTTCACACAAGCACTAATTTATAATCCTTCACAGTTCCATTAGTTTGACATTGCATGTTTTTTTTTTTATTAGCAGCAGAAATCCTGCCTGAAAAATGTAACAGCTAGTGGCAGCATTGGGAAATAACATAATGCTACTATATCTGTTGGCTGAAACAGAAACAATGCTGTTGAGTGGCTTTTATTATGAAAAGAAGAATGTTTTGGGCAACGAGTTTAAAAAAAAGAAGAAAGGAGCTCATCTTGTGTTTGCCTTGCATGATGCTGACAACAATCAAATGCATATCCAACACAACAAGCCTTCATTAGGTGGAATCAGAATCCCCGCTCTTTGTTAAAGGATGTGTAAGTTGAGTCCTCAGGGTTTCTAAAGGCTGTAGTTTCTGCTCCATTTCACCGGGGCTCAACCTGAAACATATGAAACTGCATCTAACAGGCACTCTCTCAGGGCATCTTCTTTTCCATGACTAATTTACAATAATTATATATTTATAAGGAAGTCAGGAAATGACATGCCACAGTAACAGTAAAGCTAGTCATCCTTTCAACTATTATAGTGTATTTTATGTAAATTGGCAATGATAAATAGGTCGAGTGTAGCTGTCACAGTTACACTACATTGTTAACATTTCTGTACTTTTGGGGAAAAAAAATCAAAAAGAAAAATATGTGTACCATTTTAATCTGAAATATGGTCTTTGACATGTACAGGTAAAAGTGGAAATCAACAACTCAATGATACATATTTGTCTTGTATAATTTTTTAGAGGAAATAGCTTACTTTCACACAAAAAATGCACTTTTTGTTTGTAAGGCAACATGGGGTTATTTTTAAAATAATCAGGTTTGATATCAAACTGTTTGTTACCCTTATTTGTACAGAAACACAAGTATAAAATATGACGTCAAAATATGACCACCGGCAACAATAGATTACAAAAATGTTTCATGTAGGTAAACATGGGTTGTCTCTTTGGCGAGTCTGAAGAAATTACTTTTTTCAAATTTGTTCATGAACATATTTCACAATTTTAATGCAATAAAATAGTTTATGTTTAACTGAGGTCATTGAAAGATGCATAATGTTACATGTGCCCCTTTTGTGATGATGCAGGTAAAATATTTACATCAAATCTTAAACACAACATATAGCATGGGTTCTGGAATCAATCTCATTGAGAGGAGTTGGACCTCATTCCAGTCTGCAGTTGCCCAAATGTGAAAAGTGGTGTGGGCAAACTTTTACCCCCTTGGCTTGGTGACTGTATACTGGAGTTTTTCCTGGTAGATGAGAAGGCAACTTCCCTGCACCTTCAGGTGGTGATGCTGTAGCTCGGAACTCTATTACTCTACTGGGGGACTTCAGTGTCCACATGAATAGTGACAGTATAACCTGCAGGGGCCTGAATTGGAGGAACAGTCTTGCTTATCTTAACTCAAGCAGTGCTTTGTTGTTGGACCTCTGTACTAGCCACAGTTCATCCATAATGAATACTACATTTGGACACGAGTCTATATTTGTTTGGGGCAATTGTCGCTGAGTGGTTAGAGCAGACTTCCTCCAATGGGAGAATTGATTGTTCGATTCCACCAGCAGTCACATGCTGAAGTGTCCCTGGGCAAGACACTGAACCCCTCATTGCCTCCGATGTGTGTCCCATTGGTGTATTAATGTGATCTAAAGCACTGATTAGTCTTTGTAGAGATCTAGTAGAGCACTGTATGAATGGGTAAATGAGGACACAGATTGTAGTGTAAAACACTTTGAGTATCTTGATAAGATAAAAAGGTGCTATATAAGTACAGTCCATTTCATTCCATTTGTTTTGAGGACTTGAAAAAGGCATATGATCATGTTTTGCAGGATATGCTGTAATGGGTGCTTCATGAGTATGGTATTGGGATCAGCTGCCAGGACCCATATGTCCAGTTCAGGTTTTCATTGCCATTTACCTTCACATATTGTCCCATTCTCAGGGCAATGACTGAAACAAACAAAATCTCAGATACAGATGATCAAAATGAGTTGTGAACTCTTTAGAGACAGGGTGAGAAGCCCAGATATCCAGGAGAGACACGGAGTAGAGCCACTGCTCCTCCACATCAAAAGGAGCCACTTGAGGTGGTTCAGGAATCTGGTGAGAATACTCCTGATGGTCTTCCTAGGTCTGTATTTTGGGCATGTCCGACTGAGAGCAGAGCCCAGGGAAAACCTATACAGGCGAGACTATGTCTCTTAGCTAGCCTGTGAACACCTTGGAGTCCTTCCAGAAAAGCTGGAAGAGGTGGCTCTGGAAAGAGATGTCTGGCCCCCCAGCCTCTGCTGCCCCCGCAACCTGACTCCGGAACAAGCAGAGATAATCGATGGATGGAATGATATATCACACATTTACTCATGTCTATACAACATGCATAAACACAATGTACTTGCAAAATATTCAGTAGTCTTTCTTTGACAAATTTAAATAAAAATCCAAACATAAATAAATAAAATCTCAGTTAACATTATACACTTAAAAAAAATGACTTACTTTAGATAATATGTTCTACCATACTAAACTGAAAAAAGTAAATGAGCTCGTGAGTTCACTTAAAGTGTGGACAGAAGTTTTTGTTTCTGTTGTATAAAAGCTAAAACACAAAAATGAACCTTTTTGCCCATGTCGAGTTTTTGCTCCAACATTCTGGTTCACATCACAACAAGCAAAACATTAATAGGATAACTTACAAAGGAACATCAGCATAAAAATTTAAGTTCCGAACACAAAATAGGGTTTTGACATTTTGTAATCCCTTTGAAAATAAATCTGTTCCCGTATTTTCATTTGCAAAATACTAAGTTTTTGTTTTTGTCATCTGCATCAGCTGAGACAAGCCTGCTTCCATTGGGACTAGCCTTGTGAAAACTGGGATCACATTGAGAAAATATGGTGACCTGACCGGAGCGGAGCTTTAAGGGAGCGACTGGTTCCCTCTCCATCAAGCTTCTCTTCTTTAGAAGCAGCAGCTTAGTTGTGACTCTGATTATGAGAAAGCCACAAGGATTTCATAAGCCAAAATAAGAATTTAATCTGCTTTTGCTGTGCATGCACATTCAAATCCACACTCATCACCCAATGCAGCATGTGCATAACATTACAAACAATGACTAAGAAACATTTTCATTTAATACAATAATAAAGTAAATCTTACATTTTCATAGTTGGGGGATAAAAAGCGTTAGAGCCGGACTGTTTATGCCGTGGCCTCAGGGAATTCTGACCAATTTCACGTACTGGGACATACTGGTATTAATTGTAATGAAAGAACCGACTACCTTTCAAATGCTGGCAATCAGGTCCACTTCAAAGGACCAGAGTCTTTTGTAGGCATTTCAACAACAGTCTGCAGAACTGCCCTACAGGCCTGAATTAGACATCAACACTCAATCTGCTGGAGGGAGCTGATGGACTGTAGGCAGGCACGAGAACTGATTAACAGCCCAAATCCTAGGTTTGGGAAAGCTCTCATCGCCTTGACAAGGATAACTTTAAGTACACTTGTTGGAGTTCTAACTGGGCACAGCCTGCTCAACTGCCACAAAAAGGTGATGGGACTCCATGACAATGGTCTGTGATGCCTGTGGCATTGAATTAGAGACCCCTTTGCACCATTTAGGCATTGTCTGACTGAGTAGTCAAAGAGAAAACAATTCTTGGGGAACCCTTAAAGAGAAGTGTTTCAGACCTTGTGTCCATCTGAGGGACACAAAGGTTCATGTTAAAGGGTTAAAGCTCAGTGTCTTTTGTGGGAGAGCAATGGACCCACATGCAAGCCCCCCGCTCATATGAGTTCTTCATCTATCCTCACTTACCAATACCAATACCCACTTCATAGTAAATTTTGTTTTACTTGAAAACTTTTTTGTAATTGTTCTATAAAAAAAATTGACATTGTCAGGAACAAAAACACGGAAAGTATGACCATTTGAAATCATTCCAATAACATAGAAAACAGTACAATATAAGACCTGTATGAAAAACGGCTCCCTTCAGTACAAGTTTATTCTTTTTTTTTTTTGTATATAATGAAACAAGTTGCTGTTTACTCAAATTAATGCATTATAGTAGTTTTCATTTCAAGTTGTATTGTTTGCCCTCCTTCAGCATACCATAAGTCCAGCATCTGTGAGCTGTAGATTCTGTTAAACTATCGTGTCCCACAAAGACTAAGCAGTACAGTGACGGTGATACAGTCTCTGACTTGCTGTAATGTGATAATCTTGCAGTGAAGGAATGATTGACTTTGCAAATCACTTTGTAGTCCGCACTGGATGGAAACAATAAATGAAGTCTGTTCTTTTGGATGCAAGGAGCACAGATTTAAAGTGATTGTTCATTTGCTCACACAGCTGTGGTCTGTTTGATGCTGTGAAAACTAATCCTGGTCGGTGATGTGGGGATGGACATGGCTCGAGCCACTCGCACTCTGAGAGTGTGGTTGTCCTGCCAGCGGTGCCAACGTTTCCTTACAGCAGAGCGAACCTGAACAGTCAAGGACACAAAAAAAAACTTTAATACTACATGTAGTATATAGAAGAAAAAGGTAAATTTAATGTAAATGATGAAATATTTTTCTTTAAATAAATAGTGTAACATTTCGTCTGTTTTTGAAAAGGAGACGACACGGTATGCACCTCATCACGCACCTACAGTTATCAAATATGAATTTCCAGCTCATTTAAAGATGAATAAATTATTTCAGTTTTGAGTGGATTCAATAAACTAACTCCGTTAATAATAAACAGAGCTGAACGCAGCGGGATTGAGAGTCAAGAAAGAGATTCTATTAAAACTTGACTCTGAGCAGTAAAAGGAGGATCCCCACATCCAAACTACAGTTTAATGTCATCAACACATTAACAAATAAAGGTTTGGAAATCCTTATATGAATTCATATCTGTCAATTTTTGGTACAAAGGTTATGAATGTTTTTATTGTACTTTATTGTTATGGCTGAGAACATTCTGCCTCTCTGCCTTGAGTACGAGCAACTCGATTGTCTCCCAAAACACTCATCTCGAACTGAAGGATGCCGCTTTGATGCCCGAGAACCATTTGTGAAGACAAAGAATGTGATGTAAGAAGACTGCAGCTGGCTTCAAGGACATCCACTGAACAGTGAACTCTGCTGAGCTGAGAATGTTATAAAAGTCAGCAGATAGCACTGCTCATGGCTCATTTCTGTCACTGGTCTTCGTGTATATACATTTATGTACCGGTATGTTTCTGCATGTAACCTGTCCTGAAGTGTGCCCTTGCAAGTAAAATGCCGATTACAAATCTTCACCTGACGTAAGTTGTTTCTTTTGATTAAACGATGTTAGAGAATGAGAGAATTTCTCCAACATCACCAAACACTTGTCATACAAGAGAGTTATACTGAGATTATCTTCTGTTAAATCAGAATCAGAATAAGCTTTATTATCATTGCACTGAAGTACAGTGAGATTATGTTCGTACAGTCGTCCGAGATGGGCGGAGTGCACGTTGCTGCTGCTTCTAAAAGCGTGGCCCTTTATTCTTTTAGATAGAAAAGAGGAAAAGGGCATGAGGAGAGGATAGTGGTATTACAAAAAAAGATCTCTTCACATCTTGTCCTTATCAGGACACAATTTAAGACATAAAAAAACTTTACCAGCAAGCACATTTATAGACACGTTAGATTATGCATTTGACGACAAGGCGGCGAGATTGACCTGCGTTACCTGCAGTGTTCCCTCAGTGCAAACTGAACTTGGCAAAAGGGCCTTCTCCTACTCTGCTCCTGTTTCTTGGAATATCTTACAAAAAGATCTGAAGCCCTCGACCTTGACCTCTCTAAGTGGCTTTAAGAATCTGTTGGACTCCTGGCAGGGGCCAATGCAGACATGTTCCTGTTTTTAGTTTTCTACATTCACAAAATAATCTAGCTGTTTTTTTGTTACTTTTTTTTTCTTTTAACTTTTCTTTTTTTTTGCCATCCTATTTGTTACAAAAAAATTGTATGACTTTTTATAACTGTTTGTTGTTGTTGCGGTTGTCCATTGTTGTCATCATTCTTTGTTGAAATCAGGTCTCTTGTAAATGAGTCCTCGAGGCTCAATGGGATTTACCTGTCTAAATAAAGGTTGAATGAATTTGTCCATGAAGCACTTCCAGATAGCACCATAGTCCTGTTATAATGTTGGTATCAGCTGGTATAGCTCTGATAAGCATTCACAGAAGTTTTCGTAGGGTGGGGGGTGCGATAGACAGAGCCGTCTTAGTTTACACATATCCCAGGATTTGGAAGATGTGTAAATAGAAGCTCCGATACACAAGACTGAGAGCAAAAAAGCAGGGGGAGGATGGGAGAGGGAATGACAGAGTTGCAGCTGCAACCTTGAAAAATAAAAATAAAATTATGTGCAATTTTATGAGATGTCACTCTCCCAGAATTTATTGTGAATTTAAGTTGCCATCACATCAAATTTTAGTTCAATATTTGTCAAATTGACCAAGTTATTTGGTTTAACACACTGATGGCGTCCTAGATTTTTACATGACGTTTAGTGAAGAAGGAAAAAAAAAACATTTGAAATATAAATCATTTGGGAAGTTGTCCTGGGGAATTATACTAATCAGGCAATAACAACAAAACCTACAACTTGCAAACTTGCTTATATAAGTTTGAAATGTTTTACAGGAATTTTTAAATGACACATTTATTTTCTAACTAAAATTAAACCTGAAGATGAAAGAGTAAAGTAAACTGACTGCCATAAGCTAAATCTCATTATATGTTGCAGTTTGTGTGAGATTAGATTAAGGGGATGTGCAATAAACACACAGCTGTGATTGACAGTTATGAGGTTATAAGAGGTGGATTATGTCTGTAGCAACAACTGATAAAATCTAGAAACAATCAATTTATAATGCTTTAAAGGAGGGAAACACGACTGATTACAATCCCTCACAGAGCAGATGTTTGGTTTTCAGTCTTCCTGTTGAACTGCCAGTGTCATTGTAGCAACTTCATTTTATATAAAACTGATGTGTTATTTATTTATTTATTGCCAAAAAGAAAATAAGGATCAAAATGGTCCAAGATTCTGATGTATGTAGCAATAGTATTTAAAAAAAACAACAGATTTATGGATCATTTGTTTTTTTAACAAGGAAGCACAAACATTAAGTCGTATATAAATTATTGTTTAAATGCATGTGTAGTAAATGTTTTCACGGGCAACTGAACAAAAATGTGTTTAAAAAGTGATAATTGTGCATATACTTTCAGGTCTGTGAAGAGCATTTACACAAGATAATGTAGAGGTAACTACAAAAACCATAATCGCCACGTTTTGCCAAAATTCCCTTTGCTGCTTTATTCAGTTTTATTGTAACTGTCCTGAAAATCCATGTATTTTTTTTAATTGCTTATTTTTATCAAAGTCACAAACTCCACATTCCCAGCTATGATGGGGCGAGCAAAGAAAGACTCCATCATCTTTCACAGTTAACATGAACTGGGTGATTTTGGCTTTAATAACTTTCCAACAGCTGTTACGGTTTCTGGTAATTTGCTTTTATTTTAATCAGAGGGAAATGGCAGCACTTAGTGAAGGTTTTCTATCATATTTAAAGACTAACAACAAAAGGGCACAACTTCACAGAATGAATGTAAAACCTCTTTCCATTGATTGCAGTTAGAAAACTGCTACTCATACTAAATTTAAACTAAAGTGTGCCTAAAGGTATATTTGAAAAGAAAGAGAAACATCGTATAAGTCATTTCAAGAGATCTGTGAAGCACTTGATTAAAAAAGCAGCTCTAAGAGGCACTTTACTGACAGACTGACTCACCTCTCCATTTAGAAAGCAGTAAAACACTGAAACACAGAATCCCTGAAAGACAAGACACATCATAATTAGATGAAAACAATAGAGTACTATTTTGTTCTTTTAGCTAAAGGAACATGACACATTTTATATGATGCAGTCCTCAAACAAACCAAAAATATATAAAAAGTGTGTTTAGTTTGAAAGCAATTTTTGTTATAACATAATGAAAGCCAAAGCTATGTATATCTGATTTTTTTATTTAGTTATTTGTTTAGGCAGAGAAACCACAATGATGCAGGAAAAAAACAAGCGGGGAAGCCGGGGAGCAGAAATCATGCCCACATGGCCACAGTAATCTTGACAGCTGAGCGAACTGAACATAAGACAGAAGGGACAAAGTCTGCATAAGCTCCACCAGGATGCTAGCTCAAATGATCCTCCCACAAGAAATCTCCAAAATATGATCCAACTCTGCAGTAAAACACTCGGATTGATTTGTAACAGACAGTGTGTGCGAGGGGTCTTAACTGGGACTATCAATAATCTCACCTGAAATGACTGCAAAAAGGAGTTAAAATAGATGAAAACGACTTGTGAGATGTCATCTCCGCCCGGGTTCACAAAGAACAGCATATATGTGATGCCCAGCAGAGGTAGCAGGACTAGTGTGGCTTTCACGGCTTTTCTGTAAAGACAGGGAATGAATATAAACAGGCTTGTTACTGAAATAGAAACGTGAACGTCATCTGAGCTGACTGTGGCAAATGTTGTCGCTGTATATTTTTATAACATGTATAGAGATTAGGCTTGGAGGATGGTAATCAGCTGTCGCGTGCAGTTTGTATGTTGAGATTAATGCAAGTTATTTTTGAATTTATTGGAATTCATTAATAACATTAAAATTAGGGCTGTTGGCAATTGCCATCATTTACTGAAGTGGTTCTCAAACTGGGGTCCCCGGATCCCCAGAGGTCTGTGAACCAGTGCTTGGGGGTCCGCCAAAAAAAAAAAAAAAAAAAAAAAAAAAA